TCGCTTTAGTAGTCAAGCAAACGAATACGCAAATATATGCCTTAGTAAATCGACGATTTCGAAATTTAGATTCCTTAAGTTTGAATGGTCCAGCGTAGTCGACGCCAGAGCGCGCAAAGGGATGAGACATATTTACTCGAGAGGCAGGTCCATGCCACCATAGATCACATTCATGCAATTCGGACGGACTAGCTCCTCTAGATATTATGTCAGCAGGATTTATTCTTCTTCTTCAAGTGCCCTGTCCGTTGCGAACGTTGGCTATTAACATGGCAATTTTGATCTTGTTTGCGGCGCTTCTGAATAGTTCGACCGATGTGAGCCCGAACCACTTCCGCAGATTTTGGAGCCACGAGTGTCTTCTCCTGCCTGGCCCTCGCTTACTGTCTATTTTTCCCTGGACAATCAATTGTAGCAGACGGTACTTATCGTGTCTCAATATGTGGCCTAGATATTCAAGATTTCTTTGTTTAATTGTATTCACGATGCAGGAATTATATTGGAAGGTATATGATGCCACTCATCTACCTTTGTTAATTGCTGGATTTCGGATACACGATTGCATACAAATGTTTTCAAAGTGCGAGATTCAAGACCCAACCAGCATAGAACAATTGTGGAGTCGGTATAGAAATAAATTTTTGAGTAATTAAGTTCTAACGATTCAATTACGTCTTTAGTTAGGCGAGCAAGAGTAAGGGCTCCACACAATTCTAGTCTAGGTAGTGAAATAGCCTTTAATGGAGCGACACGTGATTTGGCGCACAGTAAATTGCTAACTATGTAGCTCAATGTAAATGGGATCTATCGTAGTGATTTGACGAGGTATATTAAAGCAGTTAACGAGAGTAAGGTTTCTATAAATGATTTCCAAATTTTATAGAGTTCCACAGGAAGAGGATCATCCCAGTCAAGTCGTTGAATCCATAATTTTTGCATTAGAACCTTTGCTTGGACGAGCATTGGCCCAAGGCAGCCTAGAGGATCGAAAATAGAAGCTGTGGTTGATAGAATTGTCCTTTTTGTAATACTGTATGGGTTCGGTTTTATCTTTGTGCTGTAGATAAATGAATCAGTTGAGGAATTCCAAGATATGCCAAGAGTTTTACTGTTTGGTGAATCGGTTATTATATATTCTTCTTTGTGATCATCTACATTTATATCTGATAGTAGGGCCATACTGTATGATGAAAATTGCCTTAGATTGAAGCCATAGGAACTTAATATTGATGTTAAGATTCGACGAAGAGCAATCAATCCTTGTTCAGTTGAAGCACCGGTCACATCATCGACATACGTATCTAGGTTGAGCTTACGACTTTCTTCAGGAAATGTAGCAGAAGAATGTATAGAAATTTCCTTTAATCATCTAGTGGCTAAATATGATGAACTTGCCAAGCCGTATGTCACGGTGTTTAACTGATAAATGTTAATTTCCTGGGAAGGATCATTTCGCCATATCACGCGTTGAAGATTACGCTGTGTTGGGTCTACCAACACTTGGCGATACATTTTGGCAATGTCACCGGTAAATACAAAGTTGTGCTGTCTGAATCGTAGCAATATGGAAAAGAGATCGCTTTGAACAACAGGGCCCACCTTGAGTGTATGATTTAGTGATATGCCGGTAGAAGTGGGACACGAGGCATCAAAAACGATACGAGTTTTAGTGGTAAGACTATCATTCTTTTCGACAGCATGATGAGGCAAATAATAGGAAGGAGAAAGATCAGGTTCTAGACCCGAAATTTTAGACATGTGTCCAAGTTCGATGTACTGTGACATAAATTCGACATAGGCTTATTTTAGAATGGGATTTTTCTGTAGCTTTCTTTCTATGGATAGGAATTGTTTAAGAGCTATGTCGTAAGAATCGCCCAGTTGTGAAATTTGAGGTTTAAGAGGAAGACTCACTTGAAAACGTCCAGTGTCGTTCCGAATTGTGGTATATTGAAAATGGAGTTCACATTCTTCTTCTTCCTTAGTGTGTTTAGAAGGGATCGTGATATAGTTCTCTTCAATTTTCCAGAATTTTTCGATACTGTCCTGAAGAGGATCAGCCGATAAAAGAAAGCAAGAACTGGGATTATAATGGTAGCAATAAGATTGTGCAGGAATTGGGCCACTAATTAACAAACCCAATTTAGTTTGTTGTAAAAATGGTTGACCTTTATTACCTTTTATTTGTCCAGAACCCATGAGGTTAAAGAATACTCCTGCACCGATGGGTAGGTGTACTTCAGAAGGATCATAGGACTGTGGGTCAGCTAATGTGATATTGTTGGGTATGTTAATATAAGAAGGATTGATTGAATGCTGAGGTGTTAGGTCGGTTATTTGACTAATTACGAGAGCAGTCATTTTGAAAGTGAAGTCTCCGTTTAGAGATTTTATTTCTAATTTTACACGCTTGGTAAGTGACGTTGTAACGCGATTTATACCCGTTATAGGTAGGTTAACATGTTCATATGGAAGATTTAGTTTCTCAAATAGTTCTTGAGTAATAAAATTTGATTGGCTTCCACTGTCTAGGATGGCTCTGGCTTGTAGGGGTTGTCGATTTTTGTCAAATGTTTTTACTACAGCCGTAGCTAACAGTATGAATGACTTGGGATTTTGGTTAAATGAACATAAGTTACAGGATGCCTGTGGTTCTCTAGAAGTGCTAGGATTATTTTAATGAGATTGCTGAGAATTAGATGTGGTAGATACATTGTTTTTAAAATGATGATTTTGCGACTCAGATTGAGTTCTATGTAAAAGAGTGTGGTGTTTATTTTGACATGTCTTACAGGAGTAGCTAGATTTACATTCTAAAGTTTTATGTCCGGCTCTTAAGCAATTTGTGCACAGATGAAGTTCCTTTACTTTAGCAAATCGGTCTGGTATCGGCATGGTACGAAACTTAGAGCAAGAGTAGATAAAATGGTTGTCTGAGCATAGACTGCACCTTGATGGCGCTTGAGTTAAGGTGGTAAGGGTTGAAGATTTGTAAGATGCCTTGATGTTAGGCTCATCTCTTTTATGAGATATCTTTTGGTGGAATTTTGTTTCCACTGATTCTAAAAATTTACATCTTTCCGACAAAAATTTTAGGAAATGTTGCACATCGGGTGATTCATTTCCTGTTGATACCCTTTCCCATTCCTTTCGAGAATTGATGTCAATTTTAGATGTTAAGAGATATATTAGAATCGTACTCCACTCGAAGACGTGTTCCCCTAAGTTTTCTAAAGATTTAAAATGGTTGACGAAGGTGTCTAAAAGTTTCCTCAGCGAATGAGACGACTCTTCTTTAGTAGGACTTAGCTCGAAGATGGATTTAACGTGAGCATGAATAATTGCTCTTTTGTTTTCATAACGGTCGCACAGTAGATGCCAGGCCGTTTCATAATTTGCTTCGGTTGCGGATAGTGCTCTAATAATCTGAGCGGCTTCTCCCTTTAAACTGGATTTAAGATAATAAAATTTTTCGATCTTATGAATAGTAGGATTGTTGTCAATAAGTGACTCAAAGGTTTCTTTGAAATTTGTCCACGTTTCGTAGGATCCAGAATATAGGGGTAATGGAATAGGTGGTAAATATGAATTAAGACGATGAGAGTTGAGCACTGGCGAAAATGACCTGGGTGGCTGATCCGTTGACATTCCTGCTGCTTGTTTGAGAAGTAATGTCGCTTTAGCTACTGAGGCATAATATTTGCTTTCGAACTCTTCTCGTTCATCATCTTGATTACCGAGGTTAGGGGTTGTATCAAACAGACAAATACGTTCAATGTCACACTGTACTTTTTCAAACTCAACAACTGACATTTTTAAAGCATCCAGACGCGTTTGCAATTCAAGACTGACTGTGCCAGACAAAGGAGTTCCACATTTTTCAAGGAAATTATTAAAACGAGTCATTGTCGCTTTAATAGTGCCACGACGAGCTACAAGGTGTTTAAGGCTTTCAGCATTAGCCATTTTTATGAATTTATTTAAGCTAATAGGTTTAAGAGACGGTTATAAGGTTAATGTATTTTGGAATATATTAATTAATATGATAAATACATTGATCAATTAAATGCAGTAAGCATAGTTAAATAAGTAAGCAATAAAAAATAAGAGGTTGCAAATGAAGGTATGAGTTAGGTGTAACGATTGTGGTATGGCTATGTTGGGCCGAATGTTAATAATGCTTGGGATGTCTTTATTATAAATAAATTTGATTTAAAAATGCGTTAATTATATTATAAATAAACGACATTTCTTTCGATTGGTGCTGCTATGGGAGGCTGCTTATAGTATATGTATTATCTTATAAAGTGAATAGAATATTAATTAAAACCAAACCATATGCCAATAAATTATGTACTCTCAAAGCAAGATTAAAGTATGTGAATAAATATTCTAACCTTTATTTCTCGATGCTGCAAGCTGTAGGTACCAAATTCAGACGAAGCGATGTTTTCTTTGGGTGCTAAAATCCAGACGAAGTAGACCAGTCCGGCTCGAAGACCAATGTTTGCTCTCGCCCTTTTTGTTGGAGGACTGTAAAAAGCCAACGGGCGTTTGAGCACTTTTTGTGATGTCCTATCTTTGTTGTCGATTGGATCGGCTGTAGGAAATTCACATTAAAATGACTATTTGAAGTTTATTTATTTGCGAAACTGATGTATTGTATCAGCACCCAACAACGCTAAGCGAAACGTAAAACTTCGTAAAAATGTGACAATGTATATATATTTTTTTGACTGATGTTGCTAGTTTTATGTCTCTATGGTAACTCACCTGTTTTCAGTGCAAACCTACTCTTTTTTACCGCGTGAAATAAAAAACGTGTTTTTAAACTAAAAGCGGTCCACTCAAGGTTAAACATAAAATTAGGATCGAACATTAATAATGATAGTAAATGTCAAATTGACATACAAAATTATGTTAGGTAAGTTGGTGACACGGTAAGGTATATTGGTGATAGTGGTTAGGAAATTTGGTGATATTATGTAAATTGTATATTTAATCAGATATTTAAAAATTTTATTCCATACAACGGTCACATCTATAATAAAAAAATTAATGGGAAAATCCCAGTAGTTGGCTGTATACCATCGTTTAAAAAAATACAGAAGTTAAAACACTTCACACTTGTATTGTGGTATAAAAACACATAGTTAAAACTTTTTCAAAAAGTGTCGTCAAAATGTTTGAAAGCATAACGTTTTCGATCTGAACAAATCATCCCCGGTGCCTCATGTAGCTGAAGCTAACAATAGTTAAAAATTTAATTAGTAAAATGAATAGTCTATTAAAAAGTTTTATGAGATATGATAACAGAATGTGATATTCTAACTATTATTATACTGTAGTTTTTAATAGTGTCAATATGGTATTACCCTATTGTGAATTATGTTGAATGAATATAAATGAAGCTAAGAATGAATGAATGAAAATATTAATATAGGAAAGAGGAAATGTAAAATATTCGATATGTGTGTGAATATGTATTAAAAAAAATGAAATAATAGAGACTGTATGTTGAGTTAACTGTTAGAGGATTAGATTGGCTGCATATCTGAGTTGGTTAAGTGAAATGTGTATTATAATCTATCTATAATAATTCATCGGCGTCAGTATCTTCGATACATATGCAAATAATGAAATAATAGAGACTGTATGTTGAGTTAACTGTGAAAGGATTAGATTGGCTGCATATCTGAGTTGGTTAAGTGAAATGTGTATTATAATCTATCTATAATAATTCATCGGCGTCAGTATCTTCGATACATATGCAAATCTCGTGGTATGGTGTCAAACAAGATGAACACTGCATCCATTGGGCTCCATTTCTTTTCTTAGCATCAGTTGAATACAGGACTCCACATAAGCCACACTCCCATCATCTATTTTACTTTTTTTGCTTTTTGGACAGATTTGTATGAAGTCGAGGGCTGTTGCTAAAGATTTTCTGTTACTGAAGTGTTTTCAAAATATGATCAACTGTGGCTTTGGGGTTTAAAATAGAAGTTTCAGGTGCTGCGTCAGTTGAAACTGGAGAAGCAGGAGCTATGTCAGTTAAAGATGAAGGCCGCAATGCTTCTTTTCGAATAACATCTCCGTTTAAAGGACATATGCATGTTTTTTAAAGCATTCTCAATGTTTTTCTTTGTAAAGGCGCTTATGTAAGCTGGATTCAAAATGGAATGGAAGTTGCTGCGATTTGGAGCATCCGTAGGCTTATTGCAGATATAACGATTCATGCTATCGCGCTAGTTAGTCTTAAGTGGCTTGAATAGTCCCACGTCAAGTAGTTACAATAGATGAGTGCAATGAGCTTGGAAAGTAAATAGGTAAACTTAATTATCTTTCGCTATTTTCAAAACTTTAGCTCCATTGTGGAGGGAGGGGCATCATTTTTAAGTGTATCATTCCATGTAACACTTTTAAAGATTACCATAGGAGGAATCCATGTTCCATCAGCACAAATGCATGCTAACATAGTTTGAGTTTGACCTCGTTCAGCGTAAGATCTTTTAAAAACATACTTTTTACCAATGCCGGTATTAACTTTGGAAGGTTTCACTACATACGATAATCCAGTCTCATCGCAATTCCAAATTAATTTCGGTGTGTTTTTTATATTGAGTTTCGTAAGAACATCATTCAGTTTCGAAAAGAAATCTTTGATCATAAATTCATTAGCCATGGAAGCTCTGTAGGCCGAAAGATTTTCTGGCACACGAAGGCACAAGTTGTATCTACTTTTAAAACTATTCCACCACCATTTGCTTGCAATGCAATTAGTTGACGGCAAGAATTTCTCTCGACCATCCACTTTAGCAAGATCATAAGCATATTTTCTAATTTGATACACGGTTAGTCCAAAACCCAATTCTTGCATTTCTATAATATAATTGTAAAGCCCAGTTTTCTCACCGAATCCTCTTTCATTCGCTAGGTAACGTTTGAAAGTTTGAAATCTACCCTCTATTTCCATTGCCAATCTAAAAGTAAAAATTAAATAGGTTATTTGGTGATATCGGAATCTTGTATAGATAATTTGGTGATAAAAAAGTTAACAGCTTTTAAAAATAAAATACATTTACGGATTCCTCAAAACAATATCTTTTGCATAGTATACTACACTTCTCTATTTTATTTCAAATAAAAGAATGAAATATATCCAGAGTTAACGTCTCAAAACTTCATGAAAAATGTGTGCAAAAACACTAAGAAATAACAACCGCAATTTAAGGAATAAAAACTTACCTTGGCTAACTCACGAATTCAATGCAGCTTTTTTTTATTGATAATTAGTTTATTGAATGATTTTATAAAGTTTTATAAAGAAAACAGCAATTATTCCAATGAAAATATAACCCAATATGTAACAGTCTTTCACATTCAATAAGAAATGACTCCACTATCGCACAATGGTCAAAACAGTCTGTTTACTAAACGCAGTTGCGCGCATCGCTAAATCGGAATATATGTTTGTCCTGCTTACACTCGTAGCAACTTACTAACGCTGTGTTATGAATGTGCTTGCATAGGGAACTGTGTGGTAATCTGATTAAAAATTATCACCAAATTACTTGTATCACCAATATACCTTTCCTTGCCCTACAGCGAATATTACAAGAAATTAATCAAAACAACACTCCGCTCGATAAAAGGGACATGTAATATTAAAAAATAAGGTTACTTATAATACGTTATGATAAATATACGTTATTACCTACTAACTGCTATTATTGGTTTTCTTAAAACAACTTCATTTGTGGAATTAGGAGCTAAACTGAGATCCTTATGTCGTTTATACCAGGGATACTGTTTTCCTGTTAGTTTCTGGGATTTGAATCGTTGGTAATAGGTAGTGGTCACTGCTAACTTCAGTAGATTTAATACTAAACATAGCGTTTGAACTTTTTCTGCAACAGAAAAAAACGACTGGTTAAAGAGAATGTTTTTTTTTTATAATAAGGTAACCATAGAAGAAATCCATGCTGAAGAACTGAGATCTATACTCTATACCGATAATATTTACTCGGCACGGCTTCGTTTTGATTTAAAATCTGTTTGTTCAACTGGAATAGCGTCAGTGATTTGACTTATATATATGTATATATATTATATACTTCTCCAAGAAATTAAACGCACCACTTCAATAAATCAATTTTATTTGTAAACAGGCAAAGAATAAAAAATAAAACTTCACCAGATTTATTCTACATTTTATTAGTAATTATAACAATTTGTCTAATCATGAGAAAATGTTGAGGTACAGGAGAAAAAAAAAACGGAAAAAAAGGCTTAATAACGAGTGTTTTCACCTCTACTATGTATAACAGCCTCACATCGTTGGCCCATACTTAAAATTAGTTGCCGTATTTCATTTTGGTCTAGTTCTCTCCAAATCTGCATCAGCCTCTCTCCCACTTCCTGTAAGTTGTTTGGTTGGAGCGGTGTCGCTCTTAATCACCTACCAAGTATATCCCAGATATTTTCAATCGGATTTAAATCCGGACTATGTGCTGACCATTCCATAGTGTTAATTTCTACCTCTTCTAGATAATTTCTGACGATCTGTGCAGCGTGAGGTCTGGCATTATCCTGCATTAGTAAGAAATGTTCACCGATATAAGGAGCGAATAGTACTACATGTTGCTCCAGGATCTCCAATATGTACCTTTCCGCTGTAACAGTTTCATTTTGTATGTCCACTAGGTCCGTACATGCGGTCAAAGAAATACCACCCCACACCATAACGGATCCTCCACCAAAAAATGTGGTATGTGAGAAGTTAAGCGGCGTCCTCATTGAGTCGACGTTGTCGATCGACTGTGTTTATCGACACTCTCGACTGAGTGTGTACGCGGCAATCGACTTTGTCGATCGACAAAAGATGTCGATCGACGTGTCGACTGGTTTTCCGTGCTCTGTCGGTAAAATCAAAGGGTAGTCGAGTCGAATCGGAAGTGTGTACGTGCATTCGACGTTCGACCTTCGACATTATATAAAATACAGTAAAAATAATTCAACGTGCGGTGTAGTCTGCCTCATTTAAAGTCTCGTGTTTTGTACTTGTTGGCAAAATGGAATTAGAAAAAGAAAAAGTGGAAATTCAAAGTGAAGGAAGGAAGGAAGGAAGTGGAAAGTGAAAAACTTTGATGGAAATTGCCAGTGAATTCAACATAGAAAAGCAAGTGGTAGAACAAAAAATAAAAAATCTTCAAAGCCAGTTAGCAAGAGAAATAAAAAAAAACAAAGGATGGCAATAAATCTGGCAGTGGCACGGATGATGTGTACAAAAGTAAATGGTTTGCTTATGAAAGTTTAAGATTTTTACGTGACAAAAATAAGACCAGAGAGACGTTGGATTCAAAGGTATGTATAAATTAAATATATTTTACACCTACAATGTCTTTTTTATTAGGCTACATAATATTAATACACATTTTATCACTTTAAGTATTGCCAAGGCACTTCTCCTTCTGGTGTCATAAGATAGTCTTTTAACACGTTTGTCACATGTAGAGCACTCATTGCACTTTTTCTGGGTATTTTTGCTAAGTTTACTAATACAGGTTGATTACAAACTTCACTTCTCCAAGCTCCTGGAATCAATTCTGTGGTGTCAGAACAGTCAGCATCGTATGTTCCAGGAGGATTGTAAATATTCCTGGATGCGCTTTTTCTAAGAAAGTTGTGCAGGTAACATGCTGTTAAGATTATTTTAGAAGCAGTAGTCGGTTCTAATACCATTGGTTTGCGAAAAACTCTAAATACGCTAGATATTATGCCAAAAACATTTTCAGATAATCTCCGGGCCCTGCTAACGCGATAATTAAATACTCTTTCACTAGAACCTTTAGGGTGAAGCCCTGCATAAGGTTTCATTATGTTTGTAGACAGAGGAAATGCATCATCTGCCACAAAAATGAATGGGCTTTTTACATCACTCTTTGGAAGCAGGTTTTCCGCAGGCAAATGCATTGTATTATCTTCAAGAAATTTATTGAATACAGTCCTACTAAATACACCACCATCAGAAATACGCACTTGGCATCCCACATTGGCATAAATAAAATTATAATTTGCATCGACTACGGCAAATAAAACAATACTGAAGAATCCTTTGTAATTAAAAAATTCACTGCCGCTATTTATTGGGGCTTGCAATGCTACGTGTTTTCTGTCCATAGCTCCGACACAGTTTGGAAAGTTCCAACGATTGTAATAGTCCTCTGCAATAGCTTTCCATTCTGCCTCAGTTTTAGGAATCTGAAATAAAAAGACCTATTTATTTTTATTATCTAACCTATTTAATTTCTAATTAATCTAATATATATATACTCTTGATTACAGGTTTCAACTGAAGTAGATACTTTGGAAGATAAAGGAGATGTGAATGACATCACTGAAAATTATGAGAATAGTCACGATTTTATTACCACAAATGATTCAACAGAAAACAATCTAGCAGAATGTAATAATGCAAATGCTGGAAATGCCGAAAAAGTTGAACGCACAAAGAGAAACACAAGTCAGAAAAAACAGTTCAAGTCACCAAATCTTGACCATGTGCATTCCAAGAAAAGGAAAGGTGATGACCCAATGGTTAATGATGCATACAGGATGATGACACAGGTGTTTTTGGACAGAAATAAAAAGGACGTCTTTAGCGTATTTGGAGAAGAAGTTGCTGTTACATTACGAAATTTGCCTACCGCTTATGGGTAGGCAAAATTGGGCAATTACAACTATCCAGTATCACAACAGCCACCACCGCAATATTATCCTCAGCATCAGCTCCAGCAGTATCCTGTTGGTTCAATAACGACTTTAATACCGCAACCATCCCCAGAGCATTCTTCATGTTCTTCTTTTACTAACCCCTCAACTCCGTCAGAATCAGGTACTGAAGATGACGAAGCCATAGATAATTTAATTCAACAACTACAACGTCCGGGACGTGGCACTTCACAATAAGTACAGTAGATATAACCAGCATTATTTTTAATTTTGTGTTTGATACGTACATTTATTTGAAAACTTAGTTTGATTTCCGAATTAGTTCACTACATTTTACTACTTTGGTACGTTTTTGTAAGTTTTGTTTTAGTTAATAAAATTCGATAATGTAATTATAATATACCTCTTTCAGTATGAATGTAGTTTTAGTAAAACTCTACTTACCTTTATGTAATCTTGTAATGTGTCAATAAGGGCATCGCAGACTTCCGGAATAATTTGAGAAATTGCTTGTTTTGAAATTTTGAAGAGATACATCAGTGAGTGATACGAATCTCCACTACATAAAAATCGTAATGTCACAGCGAGACGCTCCTTTGTTGGAATGGCACGTCTACAATTGGTGTCTTGCTTACAAATTTTTGGCCCGATTTTTTGCAACAAATATTACAAATTCACTTTCCGACATTCGAAAAAAATTTCTGAAACCTCCGTTACATCTGTATTCAAGGTTCAATAGATCGATATCATCCTTTTTCAAATCTTCCATCAGGTTACTACCGCTATACCGATTTCTACTTTGAAGGCTTGGTCGAACCCAAAATCTTCTTTTACGCGATGATTTACGTTTTTTAGTTGTGACAATAACAACACATTTTCGTTTCGACTGTCGACAAATATTCTGCCTACCTGGTGTGGACATCGAAGCTTTTTCGATTTGTCGGTCGACAGTGTCGATAGACAGAGTCGATCGACAATGTCAACTCAATGAGGACGCCGCTTTACACTGAGCATATCGTTCGACAAGGATCTACAGACCGAGAATTTGGTACAAATTCTACGGCTTCGCTCAATCGTACTTGTAAGTTCGTATAGTCGGCTGGAGTTAAAATTTGCCAAATTTAAATGTAATCGTTTCTACTCATTCATATTAATATTATATTGTATAATATATTAAAGTTTTTAATATTGGTAATATTATTAAAGCTTTCAATATTATTTTTTAATATTAATAATAATATTAAGTAATTAAATATTGCGCCTTGCTTAAAAAAAGTACGAGATAAATAACTCGTTTTTTTATATGAAAGTGCAATTTTCTTGCAAATGCCTTGAGAGGGGAAATTTCCAATATAACACCAACCAAAAGACAAAAATATTAACTTAGGTACATGCAATCATTATCACTGCTTAGCGTATTTTCATGGAAATCAACCGCTGTGCTGACTAGTATTTTTTTTTAAATTGTGATGAATAAATAAAATATGTATTAAATAAAGGGTATTTTAAATAAATTTGTAATATTTTATGCGAAAAGAAGAAAAGACTCAGTTCCGAGTCGTGAGCGTATTCCTTATATTTTCTTTAATTGTGTTAAGCTACTCGGATGTGAGTTGTTGTTATAATTATTCAAAAAAATTAATTTACAATATTTTTTATTAAATCAAATGAGAAATATTATAGCAAATTAAGAACTAAGGGAAAAAAAACAAATTTTCATTTCCTAGCAAATTGTTTCTGAACACTTAAGATTCTGAACAATAAAATTTGGATAATATTGTAATATACTATTATACACTGAAATTAAATTAAAAAATGATAAAATATGCCTTACTACCGTAGTATTGAATCTAACTACGGACGATCAACCGTTCTACAAATGAAATTATACCAGAAATTAGTAGCAAAACAAGCCAACCAAAAAAACCGGAGAATTTTTCTTTTACGCTGTAAAACTTGTAATTTACTACCAAACTTTTTAAACATAAATATAAGCCATATCAATTTTAATTCTGTAAACCTTACACGTAAATTCGAGACAAATGTTTTTAATTGTTTGTGAAACAAGTTTTAAATTTATTAATCACTGATACTGTTATCTCATTAAAAAAGCTAAACTGTCAACTCAATAAAATTGAATCAAATTTAATCATTATACTACCACCAGATACTTTTAATACATTTAAGAATATGTGTTTAAAACAAAGTGAATATATTTTTAACAAAACTAAAAATAGGAACACCAAAAAGATTAATAAATTACTTTTAAAATCAAATGATACTGAAAATAAATTAGAGAGATCTTGGGTCGAAATTTTAACTACCGTCGAAATACCTAACGACGTACGAGATTTTAAGTTTAGAAGACAACTTTGCAGTTCCTATTCATAATAAAAACGAAATTCCTGTATCTGATATTATATGTTCGATTGAAAATTCAATTTCTAATTTAAATGAAACTTCACAACATCAAATAAGAACAAAGTGCTGTAATATCTTATCCAATTTTAGAAACAAAAATAAATATTCATGTGAAAATAAAGAATTACATAAAAAAAAATCAAAAGACAAAAGCCTTTTTGAGGGAAAATCCTAATGTAGTTGTATTAAAGCCTGATAAAACTAACAAAACCGTTATTATGGAATCTAATGATTGCGACAATAAAATGAATGATCTTTTAAAAGATGACACCATATATCATAAACTTAGAAATGATCCTACCAATATCTTCCAAAAAAGAAATAATGCTCTTATTGACAGATGGGACAAAAGTGGATATATATATATATATATTATATATATATATATATATATATATATATATATATATATATATATATATATAATATCACCAAATACAGCAAAATCACTTAAGATACACAACGCTATTCCACCAAAAATTTATGGTTTACCTAAAACACACAAGGAGAACATACCTCTACGTCCTATCGTTTCCTGCATTCAATCACCCTTCGAAAATCTTTCAAAGTTCTTGAAAAACATTATCTCTAATGTCATAAATAAAAATCCTTATTATATTAAAGATTCCAATGATCTTATTTCTAAAATTAAAAACATTCACGTACCGGATAACTATAAATTAATCTCTTTAGATGTCATTTCACTATACACTAACATCCCAATAAAACTTGCCACTGACATCATTAAAAAGAAGTGGAATGACATAAAAGAATACACTAACATCCCATTGCAAGAATTCCAATCATCTGTAGAGTTAACGTTAAACTCAACATACTTTTTATATAAGGACGAAATATACCAACAAATGGATGGATGCGCAATGGGTGCAAGTATTTCTAGTGTCATTGCCCAACTGGTTCTGGAAGACTTAGAAGAATCTGTCATGAGTCATTTAGATTTTAATGTACCATTCTTCTACCGCTATATCGATGACTGTGTCTGTGCTATTCCAACAAATAAAACAACCGAAATTTTAGATATTTTCAACAGTTACCATCCAAAATTAAAGTTCACTATAGAAATTGAACAAAATAATAAAATAAACTTTCTGGATATCACCTTACATCGCATTAACAATACAGTTAAAACCATGTGGTTTACAAAAGAAACATGGTCTTCACGATATCTTAACTACAATTCTCATCATCCATTTTCCCATAAGAAGTCTGTAATTATAAGTCTCGCTGATAAATCTATAAAACTAACAGATCCAGAATACAGACCAACTGCAATAAAAAAAGCAAAAAATGCCCTTCTAAAGAATGCATATCCCGAACATCTAATCGAAACTATTTTCAAATCAAGTCTCAATAAATTTTATAACAATACAACTAACAACAAACTCAACAATATCAAAACCACTTATACAACTCTTCCATATATAAAAGGTTTATCCGAACAACCTCTTAAATAAATATTTCACAAATCTAAAAACACAAACTCCAAAACTTAAAAAATCACATGTTGTTTACAAAATACCATGTACTAACTGTGAAGGTGTCTATATCGGTCAAACCAGTCAACTGCTTCAATCCAGAATTCGTTCTCACAAATACGACAAGAACAACGTCACTGCGCTCACAAAACATGAAAGCGGGAAGAAGCATAAATTTGATTTTGAAAACATCAAAATTTTAAAAACAGAAAAAAACAAAAAGAAGAGGGAGATATACGAATCAATAGAAATAAAAAGAAACACCAACGCAATAAATGACAAAAAAGATACACAAAACCTAAATAAAATATATTTCAATCTGATTTAAACAATAATAATATAACATCATAAAAAGCTCTTAAAGTCATAACATATCTCCATCTTACCTTTTTCGAAAACATCAACGATACGCCCATATAAAAATAATTGTATACTAATGACAATAAACAATGAGATATCAGATATCAACTTTTATATGTCAGTTTGTTAATGTCTGTGTCACGTTTTACGTTTTGGTAAGTCATATATATATATATATATATATATATATATATATATATAATATATATATATATTATATATATATATATATATTTATATATATATATATATATATATATATTTATATATATATATATATATATATATATATATATATATACATTTTTATACATATTTATATATATATATATATATATATATATATATATTTATTTATATATATATATATAAATATACATATATACATATATATATTATATATACATATATATAAATATACATATATACATATATATATACATATATATATATATATATATATATATATATATATATATATATATATATTATATATATACATATTTTACAATATCTGTTTGTCCTTAAATATACACATTTTAGAATCTTGACAAAGGCAAGGGTTTCCTGCCGAAACGTTGATTGATTGCAATGGAAAATAAAATCTAGTTCCACATGTAATATATCTTTATTGAACCTAAACCCAAGAAACATTAATTTTATATTAAATATAATACGGTTCAAGAAACTCAAAACTACTATATATATATATATATATATATTATATATATATATATATATATATATATATATATATATATATATATATATATAATATATGTGTGTGTGTATGTGTTATCTCTCATCCAAAGTAGATTTCGCCATGCAGCCTGACTGCTCTGGTAAGTAAAAAGCTCAGTTGAGAACTCCGCTTTTCTCTTTACGAGTCTAATTTGGTGAGTTGTCTGTCATTGTCTTTTAATGTTAAAAAAAACACAAAATGTCGAATGTAAACAAAAATAGGTCTTCAGACAGGAAAGATAGGCATTCATACCTTCCGATGCATAATACGCCACCCGTTTATAAATTGAATTACAATTACATTAAGCGTGAAAACTTACCTGTTTGACGATTCATTTCAGTGTTATTTCTTGTAAGTATATATAGCTGTAACAAGACTTGAGGTAAAGCATGCGTATAAGACTGTAAAAATACGTATAATTCAATTGATCTGGGAGATGTAATAATTGATACTGCTTCTTCAAAACTTTGTTCATCCTTAGCTCGTACAGCCTCTATCGACCAAAAAATTCTTTCTGCAAACCTACAATTGAGAAATAGTTGTCACTATATAATGTTTTTCTGGATATTATTAATCATTAAATGATATACCTCTCGAAAGACTATTGAAAATACGAAGAACATAGTGTATTATATAGTTTAAAGAAATCATAAAGGTTCATATCATATACACTATTTAAAACTGTTTATTTATTTTTACAATTGCTTCTTGAAATTTATTTACAGACTAACGACTAAGCGACACACAATACATTTAGAGACTTTTATCGCAGTTTTGAAGCTTCTCTGTTTACACAGTTCCTTCTACATATTAGTGTACGTCACTTGTCACTACCCGCTTTTAAAACTGACCCTTCCCATCAGAAATTCTCGGCATCTGTTTTTGCTGGCGAAAGCAACATAATATGTGTCCAGCTCTGCATGGAGCTTGATCCTTTCGAATTAAAGCAGCAAGCACAAGCAAAAATCAACACTTTAATAATGCTTTTCACGAACTTCCAATCCAGGTTTTCTAAACCATAGCCTACCTACTCTGGTAAACTTAATTTTATTATGTTATAATGACACACAATTTATCTCAACTTAGATAAAGTGTGCCTTGTAACGGGATTTAATTAGGCATACAGAAATCAGATCTAAGTAACCCAATTCAGTTTAAAAATTTAATCCTTTTAATAATATTAATCATTGCTTATTGCTCAATGCGATTGTTTGTTTATGACATTGAAAATATCGGTGTAACTACACCCAACACGCTTACCGAGACGCTGACCTAATCAAATTAGCAATGTAATCAAAAGCTTGTTTAATATTGTGTACAAATTATATTCGTAAAACATGAATGCATAAACAAACGCAGGTGAGTTAAATACCTGGAAAATAACGGGATTAGATCATTAATAATTAAGAGTTAACAGTCGAAGCTAGTGTCGTCATTTGTCAACTGGTTACTCTCTCTATTATTGTATTTAGAGAACTAATAAAGTAATTATGAGTATCCAGTGAGTTCGAGTTAATTAACCACATGCAGGGGGTAAACTACCCCTACAGTTCCACTATATGGAACTCCTGATGAAAGCAATCTGATAAACATTATATGATTATCCAACATGATTATAGCCTTATGTTCACCTAGCTTGTCTTTTCTGTAGAGGATCTCTTTGTCACTATGTACAAAAGCAATCGATTTCCATCTTCTAAACCCACCATTTTACTAACTTTAGGTTGTTGATTTTTTTAAATACAGACCAGATTCCTTTGGTCATTTTGATGATTTGGGCGACACAATCAACTATTAAAACATGTTCCGGAACGGTAAAAATATCTTTATCTACTTCTATGGTCACATCTAGCCAGGTCGTCATTCTGTTTGCATAAATTAGTATAAATTCGTTGAAACTTGGCTGGAAGTTATCCATGGCTTGATGTTGTTGAAGAGTTCTTGCTTTTTCAGTATCGCTTGGGCTTTCGGTTTTCTTTTGGCAGTTCCTTTATTCGGTATATCATTTGATCTTTTTTGGATTTCATACAGTACTTCCCATTCGAAGTTTAGAAGAAAGCAAGTGACACAATGATGACACAGTACTAATAGTAGAAAACATCACTTATCTTCAACGAATTTTAGATAAGGTGTTGTAAAATTAAGTTTATGGTAATTATAAGGAAATACATTTCAAATATTGATCTCCGTGTAAAAAACAAAGTTATAGAACAAATACAAAACTAGAGCTATTTGGGGACAAACATAAATAAAAAAGGTGACTATTCCAGGAAAATAAGAGTAAGGATCTAAAAGCAAAAAACTCATTCAAAAACATAAAATAACTACTATGTAGTAGGGATCTAACCCCGAAATTAATAGTACAAATTCTGTGATGTTATGTCTTTCTGGTGCTGTTGTAGTTATGGACCCTTAATAAACTGTGCCTGATAAATAGGAAACTTTTGAATTATGGACATACCAAAGAATTTTAAAAGTATCTATCATGATAAAAAATAAATAAAAATTCCTATACTTAATAATGCAGGACAAGATTTGAGGTAAACGCAGTTTATTACGAAGAAGGATGTCCTAATTGGGAGAGAATGGTTTGGATACAATTCAACAAAATTATTGCGTGCAACGACCTCAATAATAAGATAGCAATGACGATAGTCAACATCCGTGGTAGAGAAGGCACGCGAAGAAGAAGAAGCAAGCAATACCAAGTATGCCTGTATCTTCATTTTCAGTAGATCATTATGCTAACAGGTACTGACCCCAATCTCTTTGATGTTTGAATACAACTTTGGAAAGGTTTTTGTCTGTCATTCTGTCTTTCGTTTTATCTAACTGAGGTTACAATGGCGTCGTTTTGACGCCAGCTTATCTGCAAAACAAACGTAATATTTCTGACGCTTTAATTTTAGATACAATCAGCTGTAGCTTAGATTCCTTACTATCGTAAATTCTTGTACATTCTATACAGAAGAGTATCTTTCAGTACCAGACAATTTTACTATCTTCAATAGGTTTTAATGTACATGTACTAATATCTTACCAGTTTTTTCACTTTTACCCTGCCAATCTTACAGACATCTTGTAGCTGTTGAACATTTTTAAGAGCGTTTGCAGGTGGTGATTCGCTCCTCTCAGTTTTTACAGTATTTTGTAAGTTTTGACCATATAAATATTTATAAAAATGTTTACATTTCTATACAAAAACTCATTTTGATCTTTAAACCCAAAATTAAGTCATTGAAATAAAGCAATAAGTCATGGATCTGTTTTAGTTACAGCATTGTACTGACGGCAGTCGTGTGGAACCATCCTTCTTCGGTACCAGGACTAAAGGTCTAATTCATGGTTCAGTAACTCTTTGTTTGCCCGTATATCTAATAATTTATTTGGCTGCTCTCGTTTCAAAAGTGAAAATCATCTCGCTTATTGTCTGATATTAATGCCCTTATCTCTATTATCCTTGGATAGGATATCCCTTAATTTTTGTGTCTTTTGGTTTTTAAGATCTTGAGCATGTATTAACGGTGATATAAACAAGCTCTTTTGGTTTATATCGCCGATACATACATTGTATTGGTGAGGCCATGGCGTTCAGATGTCTGCATTGTAAAAATGAGGTGTACTCTATCTTCCATGCTATGGCATACGGGAGGTAGTAAACAAATTGTATAAATACTCATACATTTATGAAACGCTCCTGGCGGATCGTAAGGCCCTCCACATTTTACTCTTTTTCAACTTGTCTTGAATAAAGTGCGTTTAATCTTTCCTATCAGCTTCTCTTTACTAACTCTTGTTTCTTCCGACCTCGAATGACTGTTAGGTTTTCAAACGCAGACATTCATTTATATACCGAATAAATAATGGTTCTACTTCAGAGATGCGAGCCTGGAGTAGAATATACTTTTTTGCAACACTAAAGCAAAATTTCAAAGCATGAGCTAGGGTCCGAAACAAGAGAATATCACAAATAAAAGATAGACAATTTAAAAGCCAATGTACTGAAAGGTTGGAAAATATTTTAACTAGCATCGGCATTCATTATTTCGAAAAAATTTGGCTATCTTTTAAAAATACCTTGATACAGATCTTGACTGACTGCCTGGCACAGTCTAATGACGACTCAACGGGACCAAAAAAGTGTGAATGTCTGTAGACAGCTATTTAGAGCTACTGGGGCTGCTTGTAGACGAGACAAAAGCAAGCTTATAGAGAAAATCTGCAGTGATATTCAACAACATATCAACACAAATAACACCAAAGAACTCTTCGATAAAGTCAGCCTACTCACACATAAATTCGAAATCTTTGGTCCATAAAAGACGATGAAGGTAGTGTATAGATGGATTTGAACAAGGTTATAGATGTTTGGAGGGCGTAAGTTTTCATACGCCGATACGGACTAGATGCCCCCGGACACACCATGTGTACCTGAATTTCAGGCCTTAATTTTCCACTCTCCTACAACAGGGACATATCATACTAGCTTTGAATCTAAACATACTTTTTTCCGAAGTGGAATTCGCTCTAAAGAGATTTAAGTTAAATAAAGCACTAGGCTATTAGTTTATTACTGCTGATGTCTTGAAGCATTTTCAGTTATGTGGAGTAGAGTATTACATCGATTGTGCAATGAAATCTGAATCTGAACAACTATAGACTAATCACACGTATCCAACAAATAATCGTAACTATAGACTATTAGCTTTAATATCACACGCTAGTAAGGTGATCCTCTACATCCTGCAACGTCGTTTAGAAAACTGAATATGTTGGAAAATAGCACCTGAGCAGCTGTATTTGCAAAGGGCAGAAGTACTAGAAAACAAATCCTTGATGTAAGAAACATCATAAAAAAGAGATTACCCTAAGGATGCGTTTTATCTCACTTATTATTTTACATCTATTCAGAGTTGCTATTGCTAAGCTATAGTTAACAACAAAGGCAGTTGTGAACCCAAATTTCCAAGACGCATTTGACTAGCAAGAGCAACAATGACTGAACCACACGGGGTCTGGCGTGATTGTCACATTACTATTACAAACAAGAAGAGACACTTATCTTAACTCTGTTTTTTCCATATTCCTTTCACTGTCGATGCGAGACATGGACAGTCAAAGAGAATTAGGTAGATGACGTATAGACTCTTTTGAAATGTGGAGATGGAGACGACTGCTTCGAAGTCTATGGACTGCTCGCCGTACGAATATCTCGGTTTTAGATGAAATAAAACCCAACTAGGGTTTCTCTGGTACTGTCAAGTCTTTAAAGTTCTTTGGTCATATCGATCGAAGTGATCAGAAAATGTAGCGATTGAGGGCCAAGGAATGCCTCAGAGTCAACGCCAACGTGGCAGATGGGCAGGCATTACGAAAAAACTTCTCAACAAGCAGTATACTGGGGCAGTACGTGTAATAGATGACGGCGATCAGTAGAGAATAATCATTAATCAGACTATCCGAGCTGCTGGAGCTCAATGATGAACTACAACACATCTGCCAAGATGTTAATGACTATGATG